CCTAAGGTAGGTGCACGGAGAAGACGAGGAACGACGAACACATAAGAGGCGGAGTCTCGGCCGACCAACCAGCGACTCCCTTCCCAGCCCATCGGCGGCCACTTGGCTTTGCCTCTCTTGCTCTGCCAGATTTTATCCGCGCTGTCCTGGCTCCCTATCTCTCTCCTATATATTTATATTATACACTCTTCAATAACGTACAGAGTCGATATACATATATTAATTCATTCGCGATAAAGGCAAGCCACGCTTCTGTATAGGTAGGTATACACGCACAATATAAATAGGTACATCTTGTACATGGTATTGTGGTACCCATCACCCATGAAGAAGTGTACCGTGTGTACGCCTACATGATAATGTATACGTGTACCCTCTTACGATGGGTTTATACAGTAGCATGGCTTTGCCATCATCCGCCCCGATCTACCAATGTATAGTATATTTATATTTACATGTATACCTTTATACGTTTATTGATATAGGTATATATGGGGAATATATCCTAATATCCTTGCCCGTCATCCTGCCACGCATGCATGAGAGCTATACTGTCAGATATTATATACTCGTGCTGTACCATTAATGCGATGTGGCCATTTTGCGGTAAGATCCTTATTACAAGTTACGTAACAGTATACCTACTACCAACAGTACCAACCCCCAAAATGGAAGGGAGATAGGTACACATACGCGCATCATTTTTTTTCTTTTTTTTCTTTTTTCTTTTTTTCTTTTTTTTTTTTTTTCTGCGTGCATATGTTCCCTGCGCGAACGGTGTTCCATATAGCCAAGTCAATAGACGAGGTATACGTACATTTTTCATAATACATCACGGAGCTGTATATACAACGTATACATATACGTAATTATTATGATGAATCCGAGGTTACCTACACACCAGCTATATAATATATAGGTACACATATTACAATTGGGCTCTGTCATCCACGTAGATACACGTTAGACGTTACACGGCATCAGATGCGAGGTACATATTTATGCGTACCTATAGGTATGGCCCGATGATAGTACAAAGTCGAGCATCATCATCATCATCATACCTAGGTATACTTACCAGCAGATGAGAGAGAAGCAAAAGAATAGAGGTCAGCCCCAGTTTGTCTCTCTCTCTCTCTCTTTATGGGGCTCTTTTTCTGTTCTAGAGAGAGAACTACACAGCGACAGCTGAGTGTACACAGGCAGCATCGGTGCTCTCGGCTCTTCTTTTTCTCCATCCAAGTATATGTATACCTACGTACTCTTTTTGCTCGTGTCTCTCCCTGTAATATACGGCAAACGGCCCTGTGCAAACACACTATATACGCCGAGTCGACCGAGCGCGGCACCCCTCCCATCCCCCAATCCCCGTCGGACTTTAGCTGGTGATGGGCAAAGCGACGTAAAGCAATTTTAACGGAGGAGTGAGTCCCCGCGTGTATATATTATACGTATGCGTGTAGTGCGCGTCCTCCTCCCCCCCCCCGCGAGTAAAAAAATAAAAAAATTACCCTCTTTCTCCGCAGCTTGCGGGACGAGCGAGACTCCAAAGCTCTATACGATCATGTGGGTGCACCGATTGTCATACGGGGGGTACGATTGTACACGTTCTTCAAAAGGTATTATTATTGACCGAGTTCAGAGTCTAAAAAAAAAAAAAACCTGCGCAATTAAATGATTAATAAAACGCACACAACCCACGTACAGGATAGAATCTGCTCGAATCCGTATGGGTGCATATAGGTGTACGGCCCAACTCCCATGTAATATAGCGGGTGCTCGAGGAGGACCTCGAGAGAAGTGGATAGCCGATCGTCGAAACAATGGGGGAGAGAAACAGCAGTCCCTTGTTTTGTTGGCTCCTTTTTGGCGCCGAGAGTCGAGAGTGTGCACGGACCGGGCCATCCTCTATATATGTGCAGCCGGATAATCTATATAGGTGTACACATCAGAAAATCAAGCGAGCAGCGAGGGCTTTCTCTCTCTCTCCTCCAAAGTACAAGTATATATTTTGTTGTATTGTCCCGTACGGCCATGTACACATACATCGAAGCTTATATTTATGTATATATATACACGTGTAGCCGGTTGCAAACACGATGGCGAGTCAAGTGCATACACATCTGGCCGTCGAGCGGCTTTGATCGGCACAATGGCGTTTATGAAAAATCACGGGCATCACTCTGATTTTGTAAAAGAAGGAGGATGGTAGAGAGAGCGAGCTACTGTATATATACACGTAAGTACATCATCGAGTGGCCATCGGCGCGCTTAACGGGCTATATATGTACATGTTATATGTTTACTTGTATAGAGGGAACAAAAACCCGAAGCGTCGGCTGCAATCAAATGATTAAAGCCGCTATGTATTATATGCCCGTACCGAGAGTCCCGGTGGAAATCATCGGAGGGGCGGCAGCATCCCTCTCGGCAAACACGCAAGGGGCTGTACTCTCTCTCTGCTCAGCCAAATAACCACGGCTCGGCTGGCGTAAGCTAGCTTGTGCTTATATATATATGTTGTACACCCACTACATCGGGTTATGGGGGCGCAATATCCTATAGCCAGCGGGCAACAAGCAAACTGGGATCTACGTATGTATACGTCACCCACCCACACACACATATACACGCACGGTTCAGAGGCTGGTTCGGTCGCTCCCGCTCTATCATTCTCGTGTGAGACAGTCGGAGCTTTCTTTCAATCGGGTCTGCCATCACCTTCCTGTAGGTACCACCTATGGGTGTTCCGTATATACTTATACTATTATCAAACCTATAAAGGCATCTGTTTATATGTATATACCCGAGCAGCCTCGAGCGGAGCATCTTCACGTCGGAGCACACAATAAGCTGCTTTATCGTCTCTCTCTTTATATTCTTTTTTTTTTTTTTTTTTTTTTCTTTCCAATTTTTCGTTTGCTTATCTCCAGAGTTGTCGCTCTTCAAGGCTCTCTTTTTCTCTCTCTCTCTCTCTCTCTCCCTCTCGGCGCACCGGGTCACATTTGACTGCAGTGCTCCGAATACATATATCTACGCAACAGTCACACATTGCACCAGGAAATTTCACGGGTTTTCTTTTTTTTTTTAATTTTTGTTCTTCTTTCCCAGCGATAAGAGAGCCGAAGAAAAAGAAATTTACGACTACGAGCACGCGGCCCAGGAAGTTGGTACACCTATACGATACGCACATGCGAAGCACAAAAAAAAGAAATTATTGTTTTTCGAGCATAGCCATTGTGCCACCTGCTCCAGCTCATAAACATCAAAAAGCCTACTTCGCGCGTATGTACGTATATGTATAGGCGAGCGTTGACGGTTCCAACCGGCCAATTTGCCGGCATATGCCGCGAGCATCACTAAGTACATTACGTGCGTTATATACACCCGCAAGACTACTCACGTTATATATATATACCCAACTAACTATAACAATATACCCAACTAAAGGTTACACGGTGTAGGTGTAATGCACAGGCGCAACATGCAATTTGGGAACAATACAATCAAATAATATATAATGCTCGAGCCGCACTGCGCGCGCGAGTATAGTGTTGTACACCTACTCCCCATTGTTGCGACAATGCACTCCTTTCTAGTATACGGTACACACATAAGCTTACTAAGTATGCGGTGACGAGTCTTTAAAAGACCGATGTATTCATTCGGCTTCGAAACGTTATTTATTCAAGCCTTAACGAGCGGACCAAGAGAGCCTGCGCCGTATTTATTGTATACACTTTGTGCCCTGTAGATGCGATATACGCATAAGTGCATAACATTTTACAACAATACTCGCACCTTTTATTTGTCTCGTATATAATTATATATATATAACACTTTCCTTGCTCGCGCGTATTTTTTTTTTTTTTTATTGTGTTGTAGCCGTCGAGGGCGAGAACCACGTGCCTTTGTATCGTATTTCATCATTGTCGCCCAAACGGATGACGCAAGTTATATTATTCACGAGATGGAAGAAAAAAGAATAACTGATGATGCCCCGAGCGAGAAGACATGCTCCACCGTGAATGAAACTCGGAAGTACGTATATATGTATAGGTATACAGACTCGCCCCGTCCATTGTATCGTCGCACACGTCGAAAGGTACACGTTTATTGGCTCATCGGGGAGTAACAAAAGTGTGGGAATATATCTCGTGGCGGCGTACCTTATTCGCGGATGGCCGGTATACGGCGTTTGTTGCGTTAAAAAAAATGTGGAAAACAGGTGCCGGATGTCCAGGATTACGCGGTCAATAGGTAAGAATGCATATATACAACCGGCACTGCCAACCAGCGTGAAATCGGCCCCTCGATGAAAGACTCGCCCCTCCTCCTCCTCCTCCTCCTGTAACAAATAACAATAGGCGTACACACTGTAAATCCAAGTGTGTTTAATTACACATATATTGCGTGTTTTATTACAATAATTGTGTAATGAAATGTGATGTAATAAATAATGTATTGAAACCGTTCATTTGTCATCTCAGTATTAATTTGTCCAAGTCCAAGAGTTAACATCGTGAACAACGAGTTAGGGTATATACATCTTTGCTCATTTGGCCATTTTATGCTGTCTGATGAATTTTAAAGATAATAACTGCTTTTTCGGGATTGATGTGAAAGAAATTTATAATGGAAGCTTCCTAGGAGATGTTTATCCTAAGATGTGCGTCACATGCATCGCACAGGTAGTTTGCTATGTTGTTAGTCAGTTATAGTGAGTTATTAATTCAACTTAATTTAAACAAAAGTGACGAGTTTTTGTATGTGTGTTTTTTCTTTTCTACAAAAAAAAGGTTTTTCTCTAGGACTCTTTTAAAATCTTGTTAAAATTTGGGCTGTTGCTATCCGAACGAACCCTCAGGTCAAAGTCTTCACGATTCAGCCGCCTCTCTTCCCGTATACTACCTATGTAGAACGCAACCACCAAAAGGTGTAAATGGCCAAAAAACTCCCCGTAAAAAATGAGATTCGGCGTCTACGTATACCTGATCTCCTTATTTCTCGGGTTGCGACTTAATGACCTTGGTGATGGGCTCGTCCAGGAGGTTTCGGGGCTTCACCTGCCAGTTGGGCGGTGGCGGTACCGTCGGCCTCGGCACGATCGTCCCCTGATTCTGTTGGCTCCTCCTATTGTTGCTCGGCTGCTGTTGCCTCCTGACACGCGTCTGCCTCTTTGCCATCGACTTTTTGCCCCAGCGTCTCTTCATCGCCGACACCGACGACTCCGGATCGAATCTACTCCACGGATTTTCCCATCAGAGACGTTAATAATTATACGTACGTAGGTTAGAGTTTGTTCTATAGCCCACTTGTACTTGTTGCCCGACTTGACCAAAATGCCGAAAGTGACCCCGCGACGGAGGGCCACCTCGATCTGCCGTCGGAAGGTCTTGGTCGGCTTGACCGCGCATATGCGGCTGACCTCGCGGACGATGTGACTCGTGGAGTAGTAACCCCTCCTCCTCCTCCTCCTCGGGATTTTGCGCCTCTTTCTACCTCTCGCGGTCTTTGCCTTCATTGCACAAATTTTTATCCAATGGTGTAACAGTTATTATGGGGTTACGACGGTATGATTTAGCACAGCCGGAAAAAACGAAACAATGGGCCCGATTGGTGCGCGATATGGGATATCCATTTTCTGCGAAACAAAAACCGAGCGATCCTCCTCCCCCCCCCCTCCGACTTTTCCTCCGTCTCCTCTACAGCGCTGGAAAACATACAATCCGCGTTGGGAGTTGGTGACCAATCACATGTTATCAGCGAGTAAGTATATTACACAGGGAGAAAAAAGGTGCAAGTATTGACAATAACCTGATACGAGACAGTTTACGGGAGTGGAAGGAAAAGTCGAGATTTTTGTTTTTTTTTTTGGTCGGGGACAGCATGCGTGGCACTTGACACACAGGAAGGGCATGTGTATTGCGCAATAAAAGCACTGCGGTTGGGGCCACTCGGCAAATAGGCATCAGCAGCAGGTCGCTGTATATTTTTCCACACCATGCACACACGAGTATACAAGCACATAATATTATATATATAGCCATTGGTAGGCAACGTGGCGTGAAAAATGAAGAGTCGTTCTTTCTATGTGTATGTGCGCCTTTACCGGTCACAAGAGTCGTTGGTCGTTTTTTTGCGCGTATGAGCCACCGCCTCCGCATCGTCGGAGCTGTATACGACGATCGGCAACCTGCAGCGATTCTCGAGCTTCCATCCCCGGCTGATGCTTTTGTTGCCGTTCATTGTTCGCCAAACAAAAGCTCCGGTCGACGCGAGAGAGAGAGAGAGAGCCCTTCGAGAGAGCTGCAGAGGTTGCCGGGGGAGCAGTGACCCGTGCACGAGTACATAAATATGAGGTATTATGAGATGTATATGTATAGGTTGACGACACCTCACCTACATATTATTATATAGCCGGGCGCACATTTACGGCAACGATTATTATACAAAAGTATATAGCAAGTGAGCCGAGAGTCATCGGCATGGGTTTACACATTCGTGTGGATTGTAGGTATACGTAGGTATACCTGTCGATGCATACATATATAACCTATATACACTAATCGACGCTTGGGAAGAAGAAGAAAGCGAGAGCAGGATGAGGAGACAGACGACGGGGCTCGAATGGGCTGGTTGGCCGAGCTTGGAGCGCGACGGCGAGAGGAACACGGATCAAGGATGGTCTTTGGCAAACACCAATATTTGCGAGAGCCCTGTTGGCGCGGTGGCGGCGGGCCCTCTACTCCCCGATTATAGGTACAACCTTTGCCGCGTGCCCCACACCGTCCCTTCCCTTCACTCCCACGTATAACCTGCACCTATACTTATTATAATATATCCTTTGTCCCAGCCCTCGAGGAAATAATGAAAAAGTACACGACCCCGGAAGAAATAAAAGCGAGCCCTTGTATGGTCATGCCCCAGTTATACATGTATATATACGTGTAGACAAACGAGACACCCCGATAAATAATAATTGGAGCTTAATTAGCTCGCTTATGCGACAGCGGTGGCTTTTGTGTTGATTGTATATTGATGTTGCATCTACGGTGAAAAAAAAAAAAAAAAAAAAAAAAAAAAAAAAAAAAAAAAAAAGTAAAATATGCAGAAGTGTATAAATTAAGTATATATGGGCACTCTTTCTTTTAGCCGCTCTAATTCGAGAGTATATAAGCGGTCGCGGGCGCGTGGTTCCACTGTACCGTGTACGTGTATAAACACACACACACGTGCACGCGCCGGCCATTTTAATTTGGCGTCCCGGTATACCGCGCCCATCCCTCCGGGGCCCCGCGGGGCACTGCTAATTATTCTCAAACAAACGAGAGGACCGTGTGCTACTTTTAAAGTTGATTAAAATGCGCGCCGCGCGCATCGGATAATTAATGGCTTTTCCATCAGGCAGCGAATCGCGGTGTACATACATACACATACATAGCCCCAGCTCCGATATCCAATTTCGATGCGATCTCAATTACATCGCGCCTAGCTCCTCTCCTGTATAGGTACACATGGTGGTGGTGTGCTTAAGTATGGGTGTACATTTTTACCACACCTGCACCCTTTATGTATACCAAATACATATATATTCCTCACAACGTGTGGATGATAAAAAAATATGGTTTATCGACCAATGAGCACAATTTCTGGATTATTGGGGTATATATATATACACATTTATAATACTCTTGATCAAGTATAGTATATCGGGTTGAAGAAATAAAAAGTAAAAAATATATGCCGAACAGCCGGACGATCGAGCACGTGCATATGCATCATTGGGGAATACGCGAACGATTCGAGGACAGACGGGGGATGCAGAGTTTTTAAACAAATCGAACGGAGAAAGAAGGAGGCGATATGCTGCCGAGGGTATAGAGGAAGGAGTGCGTCACAAGAAAGCATCCGCGGGCGTAGGTGCGCTTATTGAGTCCTAGGGGGATTTAGTATAAATACACCTACAGATGTACGAGGCTCCGCAACTCTCTCCCGTATACTACAGATCGTGTGGATGTGTATATGTGGTACACACACGTGCGCGTTATACAAAACCCACCCTCTAGTCAAACATCAGCGCAACATCAATCAGCACCAGTCACTTGAGCGAGAGCTAGCCCGTCGGCGCCAACATAGCGATATTGGCTGTGCAGCAGTTGTTGCCACCACCCCCCCACCCCCAACTTTATCCTTCTACATGTATATACACATAGTTGGCTGATTTTTCGCGGCCAGGACGGTCTTTTATCTTTATTCATTCGTTTCGCTCGTCTTGGTCGTACGATGTACGAAAACACGCCGCAAATAAGTGACAACTGCTCTGCCTACTTGTATGGGGAAACACACTTTGCCACACCACGCAAAGTGGAGTCACATATACGAGATAGGTGTATAGGCTGGTCTATAATATAGTATACATATAGATGAGCACGGAGAGTACACGGAGGGGGTGCGAAGCTCTGGCCGGGGACGCAGCAGCAAAACACGGTATATATATATATATATATATATATATACATGTA